GCCTCTCCCCCCCCCGACTGAGCGAGGCAGGTCTCCCTCCAGGGGTCCCACAGCCAAGGGCTCAGGGAGAAGCAAGTCTCCTTTCAGAACTTGAGGTGACAGCCCTAGAAACACTGGTGGGAAAAAGGTTTACAGCACTAAAGATCACAGGGAAGGAACAGGCAGACGTGAAAAAGAGGCACCGGGTGCCCAGAAGCAAACTGTGGTGGCAATGGATGGAAATTTGAAGGACGTGGACAGGGCCCTGAAAGCCAAGCTTAATTGAAAAAAATAAATAAATAACCAAAAAAAACCCAGAACGTGACAGAAAGAAGACACAAATGTGGAAAACCCACCAAGAGTCACAGCCAGAGAACAGGAGTCTGCTCACAGAGTTTTATCATCATCATTGTTATTATTTTATTATTTATTGGAAAGGCAGAGAGACAGAACGATCCAGACATCCCATCTGCAGTTTCACCCCCACCCCCAAATGCCGGCTACATGCAGGGCTAGGCCAGGCCAAAGCCTGCAGGTGGGAATCAATCCAGGTTTCCCACGTGGGTGGCAGGGACCCAATTACTTGAGCCACTACATCTGCCTTCAAGGTCTGCATCAGCGGAGCTGAGCCTCAACCCCGGGCAGTCCAGTGTGGGATGCGGCAGCCCCGCAAGGCAGCTCGGGAGACCTAACCACTGCACCAGACAGCTGCCCCTCGTTTATGCTGATTGTTCTGTATTTCACTGACGTTATTTATGAGTGCTATTTTACTTGTTCCTGTTTAATTCAACTAAATGACTTCTACTCGTGGCTGTGAACATACCCAGAGAGAAACTCATATACAAAGTGCCTTTTAGACAACAATCTCACCGGACAGGGTGAAGCTGCTCCCACAAACTCCGAGGTCCGCAGGAGAAGGACAAGACTGCCCCGCGACACCCTGTGGTGGGGGGGGGGGGTGTTCCCCCAGCACTGAGGAAGACAGCAACCCTTATGCTTGGCCAGGCTCACAGATCTGAACCAAGTTTCCCAATCGAAGACAAAACAAGCCTAGCTCGGGTTTCAGGTTTCCCTTTAGACACAGAAGCTGCTGTGCCAATCAACCTGGTGAGGAAGGAGGGGGATGCTTGGGGGTTCTGCTCCAACAGAAACAAAGGTCTTCCAGCCTCGCTGACTCCCACCAGGGCAGGCCAAGCCCAAGGAGCCCCCTTGCACCCTGCTCAACTCTGCTGTCACCTGTGCACCTTCAGAGGGCAATGCCGAGCCAGGGGAGGAGCCAGGCCTGTGTGCCAGGAACAAAGGCTGCCCACGGGCCACACTCCCAGAGGCTGGGCATGGCCCTGCTGCCCCGGGGTGCTCCCGGCTCTTCTCCCATTTCCAGCTCCTCCCAGAGATAGCCTGGGAGGGGGCCTTGGCAGGGAAAAGGAGTGGGGTGGGGGAGTCCATCTGCCCCCTTCCCATCCCTCCAGTTCCACACACACTCAAGTAGTGGCATTACCTGAACAGGAAACAAATCAAAACCGCACACTAGCCCACACAGTAGCAGCGAACATCAGCCACAGAATCTCCCCAGGATTCTCACATGCCTTGGCCTCTCTCATTAGGATGACTGTGGCACAAGATGAATAAAAGTCCACTGATATAGTCTCAGATCTTCTTTAAAACTAAGAAGCCAAGTGCATGTCACAAGGAAGCAGGCGGGGTGGGGCCAGCTCATACACATTGGCAGGGGAGGACCCCAAGAGCTGCAGCCAGGACCTGGCTGGCCACTGACAGGCTCTCTCACTCCAGCAGCGAGGCTGGGCCGGGGAGGGGGAGGGAGCAATCTCAGGTGAACGCTCTGCTCAGTCAGGAGGCACCCAGCAAGTGACGAGCAGGGCACCTGCTGCACCAAGAACACCGATGGGCGTCACCCAGTCCCAGGTGCAGCTTCTGAGCAAGTCCAGGAATCTGCTGGACCCACCAGGGCCACAGCCCTCCCCCATGGTCTCCAGACAGGAGCACAAAGGACCAGAGCTCAGCTGGGCAGGGCACAGGGGTCCATGTGTTTGTTACTCCCCTTAACAAAAGCTCAGCAAACAACTGTGAGAATGCACAGACTCCTGCTGCCCCGCCCCTCCCCTGTGCAGTTCAGGACTCGGGGGGACCCTGAGACACAACTGTGAGAATGCAGACTCCCGCTGCCCCGCCCCTCCCCTGTGCAGTTCAGGACTCAGGGGGGACCCTGAGACACAACTGTGAGAATGCAGACTCCCGCTGCCCCGCCCCTCCCCTGTGCAGTTCAGGACTCAGGGGGGACCCTGAGACACAACTGTGAGAATGCAAACTCCCGCTGCCCCGCCCCTCCCCTGTGCAGTTCAGGACTCAGGGGGGACCCTGAGACACAACTGTGAGAATGCAGACTCCCGCTGCCCCGCCCCTCCCCTGTGCAGTTCAGGACTCAGGGGGGACCCTGAGACACAACTGTGAGAATGCACAGACTCCCGCTGCCCCGCCCCTCCCCTGTGCAGTTCAGGACTCGGGGGGGACCCTGAGACACAACGCGGGGCCACGAGGCACCTTCGGCCCGGCTGTGCAGCAGCTCCAGCACTCGCTCAGCGGCACAGCCTATCAGAAGCCGACGTGTTTCCTGGAAAACTCACGTCCTTCTCCCAACAGGAACACAAGGATCCACAGCTGATGCAACCATCTGGGGAGTGAACCAGAGGATGGAAGCGCTCTTGCTCGCTCTCTCGCTCGCTCTCTCTGCTCGCTCTCTCGCTCGCTCTCTGCCTCCCTCCCTCCCTTTCAAATAAATAAATAAATCTTCAGAAAAATTAATGTTTAAAAAATGTTAATTGATGGGAGCCAGGACTGTGGCATAGCAGGTGAAGCCGCCACCAGCAGTGCCAGCATTCCTTATGGGCACCGGTCAAGACCTGGCTGCTCTACTTTCAATCCAGCTCTCTGCTGTGGCCTGGGAAAGCAGTAGAAGATGGCCCAAGTCCTTGGGCCCCTGCACCCGCGTGGGAGACCTGGAAGAGGCTCCAGGCTCCTGGCTTCGGATCGGCCCAGCTCCAGCTGTTGCAGCCATTTGGGAAGTGAACCAGCGGATGGAAGATCTTTCACTCTCTGCCTTTCAAATAAATAAATGAATCTTGAAAAAAAATGTTAATGGATGGGCCAACACTGTGGCATAGTAGGTAACGCTGCCACCTGCAGTGCCAGCATCCCATATGGGTGCTAGTTCAAAACCCAGCTGCTCCACTTTTGATCCAGCTCTCTGCTATGGCCTGGGAAAGCAGTGGAGGATGGCCGAAATCCTTGGGTCCCTGCACCTGCTTGGGAGACCCGAAAGAAGCTCCTGGCTCCTGGCTTTGGATCGGCTCAGCTGCGGCCACTGTAGCCAGCAGATAGAAGATCTCTTTCTCTCTGTTTGCCTCTGCCTCTAACTATGCCTTTCAAATAAATAAATAAATGTTTAAAATGCTAATAGAAAAATAATCAGGACTCAGGAATGCATCAAAACTTTGAACAACAGACTAGAAAGCTATGTGCCACGGAGAGCATCTCAAAACCCTGAAGGTCGATGATGTCTGGCCCGTCTATCGATCAGGCACAGGTGGAATGAAGACACTTCCAGCCACTCGAGTTCTCCAGAGATTTTGTCTTTCCCACTCTCCCAGGAGCCACATAGGGGGTGTGATCTACACCCAAGCGAAGAATTGGCCCATGAGAAAAGTTGGCACTAGTTTCAAGGAACAGGGTCCCCAGGGTGAGGGGGCAGGCTGGAGCTTAAGTCCCACTCCCCACAAAGGAATAGCAACACCCTGGGGGTGGGGCGAGGTCTGGGCAGAGGGAATGGGGCACACAGGCACTGCTCCTGTGGGAAGTGCAGCCATCAGCCCCCTGTCCGCAGGCCGGCCTTCACACTGGAGGGGACGGTAGTAGTACAGTGACCATTCTTTGGGCATTGCCTTGGGCATTTCTGGGAGTCCTGAGCCACTGTAAGGTAAAGCCCCCTCCTGACAGGGGTCTCTGTCTGCTTCTGAAGGCAGGACACACAGGCACAGGCATAGGCACCCAGTGACCCCAGGCAAGGCCTTGCCTACAGGAAGCACCCAGCACAGCCCTGCCTACACTCCTGACCCACGAGAGCCCCAGGCACAGGAAACAGGGGTTGGGTTAGGCCACTAAGTTTTTGCTTTGTTTTGTTCTTTAAATTTGATTGATTTATTTTCATTTTACTTAAGGGCAGAGAGACAGAGAGACCTTCTGTTTGCTGGTTCATTCCCCAAATGTCTGCGACAGCCAGCGTTAGGACAAGTGGAAGCCAGGAGCCCAGAACTCAACAGGGTATCCCCCATGGGTGGCAGGAACCCAAGCACTTGTGCCATCATCTGCTGCCTCCTAGGGTGCACATTAGTAGGAAGCTAGAATCGGAAACAGAGTAGCTGGAACTTGAACCACAGACTCTAACGAGCTCCCTCTGAGCTGATCTCAGCCACCCACCACCTACCACAAAGTCAAAGGTACTTTGTTACCCAGCAAGAGTGGTAGGAAGGAACTGCTGTTTTTGTGACAAAGACTCATAGAATTGTTTTTGACTCAAATTATGTGGATGGGTAATTTGGATAGAAGTAACAAACAGAATTTTTTTTAAGAATTAAATATAGGGAAGGCCAAACAAAACACTAAGTCTTAAATACAGAACGAAGCAGTCTCCTGGTGAGCTGTCCCTGTGCCCCAGCCGCAGCCTCTGCCAGTGGCCCCAGGCGTGACCCAAGGCCTCATACCAGCTCACCTCCTCCCTTCCTAGCCCCAAACCAACACCACATTCCAGCCTTCCCTGAAGCCAGGGCAATAGCCTTGGATTAAACAAGCAAGCGGGCTGGGGGAGGGAGCAAAGTGCCACCAAAACCAAGTGTCTCAGTCACTTGAAAAGGGGGCTGTGAGAGTGCGCAAGCCGGCTCCCCACCAGAGGCAGCCGTCCACGGCCGCACAGGGCTGGTCCCAGGCATGCTCCGGCAGGTCCCCATGACAAGGTACTGCGTACACTCCCTCCCTGCCACGCAGCTCTCAAGAGGGGCAGGGACAAGAGCCTCAAGGTGAAGAGGAAGGGACAGGTGACCAAAGGCCTCCCTCGGCCCCTCAACAAGGACACCACAGGCGCTGTGGCTCCTAGGGAACGTGCACTCGAGAACAAAATCCCAGTGTTCACCTGCCGCTCGGCACAGACGCTCAGGTTTCTATAGGAAAGACTTGCTCATGATGTCTTTGTAACATCAAATATTTATCAGGGTTTGACCTACACCATAGTAATCTGTACTCTGCCATGAACACATCCAAACCCTGCAGCCCACAGCCATCAGAGACCAAAACAGCACCCACAGAACTGCAGCAAGAGCTTCCGGAAAGACACAGAGGTGGCCCTCAGCTGCTGGGTCCAGTGCCCAGGGAGGCTGCGAGGAGCGGTGGGTGCAAACACATGAATTGTAGCTGCGGGCAGGAGGAATATCAGGTGCATCTCTACGCCCCGAGGGCTCAACTCCTACACTTAAATCCCTCCCACTGGAAGAGCCGGCTCCAGTTTCACCGAGCGAGCCAGCGTGAGAACAGGTCCTGCTCCCAGCACTGTCAGCACAGCCCCGGCACAGAGACGCCCGCACGCCGCATCCCAGCATTGCCACCTCTGGTAAGTGCTAACTGTTTCTCTGTCATTTTAAGTTTTCTTTAAAAGCTGCTCTCGGCTGTATCTTAAAATACCTGCTGGAGGAAGCTCCTGTCCGGGGCTGTTCTGAGGCTTACTCAGGACCTGCAGGTGCACTGCCAGCACACAGACCACGATTACAAAACCTCTGACAAGGCTGACACTTTATTCTAAAATCACCAACAAGTTTACTTGGAAATCAAGTCTTTGCTTCTGCTGTAAAATTCACAGAAGGTAAACCAAACATGAATTGACATTGTTGCTTACCTGTTCCTTACCTTGAAAGTAAACTACAACAGACTTCATCATAAAAAGGCAATATCATCCATCCATACACACACACACACACACACACACACACACACATACGATGATTAGACAGATGGTTTTAAAGTTTCCTTGATTTTACTGACTTGTAAAGTTTAACAAAAGGACTGTTAAGCTTACAAAATCAAAATTTAACCTGAAGTTGTTTCTGTTTGGTTGTTGAGTTTTTATATACACAGAGGGTTTTCTTCTTCTTCCTTTCTATGAAATTTCTCAGAAATTGAGATGAGAACAATTATGGTCCAAATCACTGGTCAATCTGAGCTCAGACTTCATTTAGGTAAAATCTAACATGTGTTACCATAATTTTTGTTTTGTATTAGGGTTTCAGACAGGTTTTTAAGGTGGTTGGGGTGCACACCGGGCTTGGTGGGAGCTATGTGCACTCACGGTGCTGAGCCCAGCCAGGCCCTGGTAGTTTTCTGGAGGCCGTGGCCGTCCTGGAGTTTAGCCTTCATTTTAAACCGAAAGTCTGGGAGGGAGTGGCGGTCAATCGCTGGAAAAGCTCAATTGGAGTAAAACTCACAGATCTCGTTCTTGCAACACCCAGTGGGCAGGCGACAATGGCGTGTCCTTGAGTTATGCAATAACGCCACATCACAATATCATAATTATAGTGTGCCCTTCACAACGTCTATCTGACGAGAGGGCTCCCTGCCAGACAGCCGGACACCACCAAAAGGAACATTACAGCATCATTTCAGGTCACAAGTTAGCCCAGCTTGCCACAGAAGTGTCCTATAAACCCAAGTTAAAAAAAAAAAATTCTTTTGTCCATTTTTCTAAATTCAAATGCCTTAGAAACTTTAAATACTCCAGCCACTCACTATTAACCTAACAACTGGCAACATTAACTGTCCACACTTAGGAACCTATCAAAAGACGGGGGCATCGGCAATTTAGTGCTGTAACAACCATGCAGACAAAACCCTGCGGCTGACCGAAACCACAGGCTGCACAAAGCGCTGTGTGGGCAGCTGTGCCCGGCGCCAGCAGCGCCCTCAGCCCAGGGACCTTCCAGAGGCACGCAGATCCTCCGACGGCCCAGAGACATTACGATACTCGTAGACAGTGGGAAAATCAGGGAAAGCTCATGCTGGGCCCTGGGCACGTGTCTGAGTCTCTGCCCCCCACTGTTGTGAGCCCCTTTAGCACAGTGTCTACACGGGCTGCACAGTCCTGATGATTCCAAGAAGGAAGACACAGCCAAGCAGCTGCGAGGAAGAGACCCCAGGGGTAGGCGTTTCTGCAACAGCCACTTCCACCCCGAGTGGCGTCCACTGGGGAGTGGAAAGTCTGGTAAAGTGCTGGGCACACGTTAACCTCTCCGGTGCTAACACTGCAGCTCGTAATGAGAGGGACTCCTCCCCAGGGGAACTCTGCTCGCGGCCTCAGCGTGTCACACGGCGGCCATGGTGGGAAGAAGTCCCTGCTGAATGCTAATCCAAACGTACTGTAAACACTTAGAGTTCTGGGTTTCCTGTTTTGGCAACAATATACATTTTTTTTCACACCAGCAGCTGCCAGTGAGTACAAAGTCCAGCAGGCAGGAGCTGACCAGATGGAGACTGTTTCAAACCTGTGCCCGAGATCTAGGCGACTGACTTGAGGTCCCGCTGTCAGGTTTAGTTTCTTCATCCCTGTAAACCTCACTTGGGCAGGTGACTTCATGGCTGGAAAGCTTACAGAAGCATCTATTTTCCCCACTTCCCCACACTGCTGTTTTATAGACCTGTGACCCACAGCCTCTGGCAGCTGCGTCAGAGGCAGCTGCACAGTCCTGAGAGGTCAGCTTATCCAAACCGCCCGCACCCAGGCCTCCATCTCCTGAACAGGCCTGCAAGCAGCCAAACCCTGCAGCACTCCTGCCCCCGAGAACAGTGGCTCCAGGAGCCCTAAGCTGCTTTACTGACCTTGACAGCTGACAGAGCAAAAGACAGGCAGGCAGCTGGGACCAGACTTCAGACCCCGCCACAGTTGACAGAGAAAAGTACACACTAACATAAAAGCAATTATTTTGCAAATTACTGTTCTGTGAAGTACTACGATAACTTACATGACTACATCCAGAGAGACTGTGGGGAAAACTTAACCCAGCGGGGCTCACTTATCTGGGGGACTGAAGTCTCAGCAATACTGGAAATCGTGCTTCTACACAAACATCATCGTTTTGCTACGTACCCAGGGAGCTTCTGTCCCTCACGGCTCCTCCTGTCTTGGAGACTGGGGCTGGCGCATCCGCGTCCACCCTGGGCAGCGCTGGGACGCGGCGCTCACCTGATAAACATTTTGCAACTGTCATCATTCTGATCGCGAAGCTTCCAGCGAGTGGTGAAATCATCAGTTTTCAGATCTTTGCCGTAACAGATCCTATACAATCATGGGAACTCCACTTGCAGAGGTTCTCACGCCTTCAGAATCAGGCAGCACAATGAGGCGTGCCGGGACAGGCCCTGCTGACTTATCTGGCTGGCCCGGCACTCGGCTGCCATCAGGCACCCGCTTCTCCGCTTCCTGACGAGAGGCAGGGAAATTGTGCTTTTATCGCCCAGGGCAGATCTGCCCCCCAGGTACAGGCTGAACCATAAAGAATTATTTCACACTTTTTCTTTTAATAAGAGGGGAAATTAGAAAGACACAAAGCTATTATTACGTGTTTAATTTGCTCGGCTCTGACACGGTGCCTTCCAGCCTCTGCAGTGGCGCACACTGGGAGGGGCAGCACTACGCACAGCCCAGGCACCTGCGGGTCACCACCAGCCCCCCGGGAGGCGCACCGTCTGTCCGACACCTCAAAGGCAGCCAGCATTCTTACTGCTCATCTACAATGCAGGCTTCCCTATCACACCCTGCAGAAGCCCCACAGGGAAGGCTTTAGGAGTCAGCAGCACCCTTGCTCTACTCAAACACCTCTTAGTAGATCAGTATCTTAAAGAACTTAAATTCGTCAGCAGAGACATGGCAGGGGTGGGTGCAGTGGCTCTCTGTGTTTCTACGGAATATGAAGAGACACCAGCTTGTGGAGAGTAAAATCTGAGGGCTCTCCTAGATTTAAGGCATCCAAATGAAAAGGCAGGCTCCTCTCCTGCTGCTGTGCTGTGCGAGCAGAGAAAGGCAATACGTGTCTCAGATGTCCCCCGAGCCACTCCCTCTCCTTCCACCCACAATACTTTAAGCACCCCACTGTCTACTAAGAGTGGACTTCAAAAGTCTACAGAAAAGGGAATTAAAAGACAAGTTTATTTCGATGCAAAAAAAAAAAATTTGAAACCACACATGTCTTCTTAACCAGCAATTTTGCACAGTGTGTGGTGTGCGATGTAGGAGACAGCTCATCTATAAACCCTCACTCAGGACTGACTGCATCTGCTCAGCCCTTAAAGAGCAAAGCTGGGCCGGCGCCACAGCTCACTAGGCTAATCCTCTGCCTTGCGGCGCCAGCACACCAGGTTCTAGTCCCAGTCGGGGCGCCGGATTCTGTCCCGGTTGCCCCTCTTCCAGGCCAGCTCTCTGCTGTGGCCCAGGAGGGCAGTGGAGGATGGCCCAAGTGCTTGGGCCCTGCACCCCATGGGAGACCAGAAGTACCTGGCTCCTGCCATCGGATCAGCGCGGTGCGCCGGCCACGGCGGCCATTGGAGGGTGAACCAAAGGCAAAGGAAGACCTTTCTCTCTGTCTCTCTCTTTCACTGTCCACTCGTCAAGAAAAAAAAAAAAAAAGAGCAAAACTGCAGCTGGAAGCAGTTTTTGTTTGTTTGTTTTTGACAGGCAGAGTGGGCCATCCTCCACTGCACTCCCAGGCCACAGCAGAGAGCTGGCCTGGAAGAGAGGCAACCGGGACAGAATCCGGCACCCTGACCGGGACTAGAACCCGGTGTGCCGGCGCCACAAGGCGGAGGATTAGCCTAGTGAGCCGCGGCGCCGGCCAGCAGTTGTCTTTAATCATCTCCATTTAATTTTATAAATCATTTGAAAATATTTAGATGCTACAGAACTTTCCTTTCTCACACTTTTTCCATCATAAAAGGGCGGGGCTTGAATCCTCACACAACCACAAGCTTGTCCTGAGACACGGCCACCACGGGTTGGTCCAGGCAGCAGCTGCCCTTTGCTGGCAGCTTCAGGGGAGGAGGCAAACTGAGGGCCCGGGGTGCCAAATAGCATAAAAGGAAACCCAGCTGGGGGAATGAGGGAGGAGCAGAGGGTGGGCCTGCCCTGGGCAGACTCACAGCCCTGCCAGGTCCTAGAGCCCCAGCAGAGGTGGACACCACATCCCTATCTGCCAAGTGCCAAGGACCTGAGTGGGCACAGCCAGAAGCAGAGTCCACTCCCTAAGATGCTAGCACCGCTCGCAATCTGGCCCCTTGAACACGGGGCTATAAAGCCTTGCTCTGACCACTTGGAGGCATACCCAGGAAAGGACGGGGTGAACCTGTGAGTCTCTCCCAAGGCTGAGGGCAGAGAGAGGACGGGGGCGGGGGGTGCAGCCACCACGGGGGCTTCCAAGCACACGTGGCAGCACTGCAGACTAGCTGTTCAGCACACATGTAGCAGTTACACTCACATGGAGACAAACAGAAGGGTGGGGCACCTGCAGGGAGAACACAGCGAGGACACGGCTAAGCAGCAGGCCTGCCCTGAAGCGTGTCACCGAACACTCGCGTTTTCACAGCAGTCAGGCAGAGGCACAGTGCCAGATCCCCGTTCAGAGACCCTGCAGGAATGGACCAAGGAGGCTCAACTTCGGCCCCCTGCAAAGCAGGCCTAGATTATGGGATAAAATTTCCCAAACTCCAAGAATTGTAGGTATTCTCAAAACTGACACTAAACACTCCACACACCACATGTCTCCTGGCCCAGAGCACTTCTTCCAGGTCAGACTTGAGAAAACAGAGCACAGTGAGGGGCGTGGGGGCGGTGGCACCTGCTCCGCCTCAGGAGTGGGCGGAGCAGAGGCAGGCGCTGGGTGCTGCCGCTGCGCAAGTGGGTGCTCCCAGCTGCTCGGTGGTGCGGGCGAGGACCCGTCCTGACCCCAGACTCTGTCTTCCACTGCAGGCCAGCACCTTCCTCGTCAGAACCGCGGCACGTGGAGCTGTCTCCAAACAAGAGCTTGGGAAGCAAAGCCAGAGCCACTCGGCTTCAAAAAAGCCACCGAGCCCAAGCTGAGCGGCAGTCAGCAGCGACTCCGCCCGGAAGACCAGAGTCTGAGACAGAAGAGGACAATGAGTCTCCTCAAAGAGCGGAAACCAAAGAAGCCACATTACATCCCCCGGCCCCCAGGAAAGCCCTTCAAGTACAAATGCTTCCAGTGCCCCTTCACCTGCAACGAGAAGTCTCACCTTTTCAATCACATGAAGTACGGTCTCTGTAAGAACTCCATCACTTTAGTTTCAGAACAAGACCGGGTCCCCAAGTGCCCTAAAGCTAACTCGCTAGACCCTAAGCAAACCAACCAGCCAGACCCCACGGCTAAGCCAGCTTCTTCCAAGTCGGCCACAAATGGACACTCCAGCTTTGACTCGAAGCTTCAACACAGCTTTCCCAAGGAGGACGTCAAGGAAAACGTGGAGCTGAAAGCTCGGGGAGCCCACAAGTGCCCACAAAAGCCAGGCCTCCACAAGGACACAGCACCCCTGAGTCCAGTCCCAGAAGCTGCCCTGGGCCCCCAGGCTGCCCTGGAAGGCGTGGTACGGCCTTCAGCATTTGTTCCAGTCGGGGAGCACAGACTGAAAGGGCCAGAAAACACAGAGGCACCAGAGATGCTGGCGGTAGCGCCCCCCACAGCCAAAGCCGCTGCTTTCCACACTAAGTCAGCCTTCCACACTCCTGGCTACCCCTGGAAGGCCGGCTCTCCATTCCTGCCACCCGAGCTTCCACACAGAATGCCGTCGACAAAGGGCTTCAGTGCCATTCCCCCCTACGTGCACCCCACTGTGCCAGAGTATCCCCCACACTTCCACGCCGAGCACGGACTAGCCACCATCTACTCCCCCTACCTCCTGGCTGGGAACGCCTCTGAGTGTGACACACCTCTGCTGTCCCTCTATGGAGCCCAAGACCAAAGGCCCTTCCTGCCTCACCCAGGGCCGATCCCTAAGCACCTGAGTCCATCTCCATCAACATACGATCACTACAGATTTTTCCAGCACTATCCCTCCAATCTGCCGATTCCCTATGGGTTTTACAGACCAGAGTCGGCATTTTCCTCCTACGGCCTCAGGCTGCCCGCCGTGGCCGGCATCACGCGGGATCAGAGCTCACACCCACTGGAGGAGGCTGCGCTGCTCTATGCAGCCTCAAGTCCTTCCAGGTCAAACCCTCCCTCCGCCCACAAGAAGCAGACCGAGCCTGAGAAGGAAAGTCCACCTCCAGAGGCTAAAGACCCTTCCAAAGACAGGCAGAGGGACACCGAAGGGGCCAAAATGAGCCCCCGTGAGGGCAGCGCAGCCACAGGCTCCCCAGGGAGGCCCAGCCCCACCACGTTCACGCAGACCAGCCAGACCTACGAGGGCCTGTGTGACCTCTCCAACAAGCCCGCCACGTGCACCCTGGGACGGCTCCACCAGCCAGAGCACAGCCCCACGGCCTTCAAATCCGTCCCGAAAAGCCACGAATGCCTACACTCCGAGGACCCTGCAAAGGGGACAGAGTCTCCAAACAGGTAAGAAATTTCATTTTCAAAGCTTCCAAGTAAGGTTTTCGGTTTGCAATTAGCCACGTTTACACTGGCTCAAAATCTTTACCGCGTCACTTTCTAAGCCCTTCTCTCAACTTCTTCCAGCCTGAAGGCCACAACCAGAGACCCTCCCGTCCAGACAGGAAGCACCACTCTGGTCATGGAGGTTGTGCCTTCCAGCCCAGAGGACAGCTCCAGGACAGGCCCTCTCAACCTCTCCAAGAAACCAGAGGCCAAACTGGCAGCAGCTCATGGCCCCGTGTACAGAGGCTGCCTCCTGGAGGAGTCCCCCAGCTTCGTGGAGCTACAGGACCTGCCCCTCAACCTCTCGGTGAAGGACCCCTGCAATGCCCGGCCCCCAGGGCCCACCTTGCCCAGCCCGCCCCCAGGCACAGAGCCTGATGAGGCTGCTGCTGCCCATCAGGAAGAAACAGGAAGTCCTGGGGATGGGCCAAGCCACACCAAGCCACACAAGGACAGCCCCAGCGCTGACAAGGCCCCAGCATCAAGCCCAGCAGGGAAGGCCCGCGATGTGTGCGAAGAGGACAGCAGCGACGAGCAGAAGCAGACAGCAGCTGTGGCCCTGTGCCAGCTGGCGGCCTACAGCCCAGGAAATGTCAGGCTGGGCGACGGGGAGCCCGCAGCCCAGGAGTCTGCCTGCCCACAAGATGCACCCCCTCTCGGGTGCACAGAACGCCAGGAGGCTCAGTGTGACCTCAGACCCAGAGGAACAAAGAGGACAAGTCACAGAGACGCGGGGAAATCCCAGCCAGCAGCTAAGAAGGGGAAGCCGAGTGACACGGCCAGAGTGTTCACTCTCCGGAAAAGAACCCGAGTGTCCTAAAGCCAGAGTATGAGGCTCGCGGCACCCACACCCCACCCGAGGCAGGACCTTCTCCTTTCCCCCGGGCAGTTCCTAAAACTGCAGCTTCGTTTTTTTCTTTCCAAAAATAAGTCTGCAGTTCAGTTTGTTTTTTGTAAATATTAGAAGGTGTCTCCACTTTTGGTTAAAGACACATCTGAGTGACTCACGCCCTAACACTGTGAGTTGAACTTCGGCTCTCACATTTGCAACACACCAGACTCAACGTACAGAACTAGAGGTAACGTGTAGATATACGCCATCCTGCAGAAGGGCCTCTGACAAAGCTCTTACAGATACTGTAGCACTAGAACAAATCGTCTGAACTGTTTTTTATTAAGTACAGTCGTGTGTTTCGTTTTGAAGCAAATAGAAGTTACTGGGAAACATGCCAGGAAAACAAACATTTTTAACCCTAGCATTCAAGTATTGCATGGAGAGTGCTGTGACTCTATGTGACTGAACAACACACAAACATCGCGAGGTTATTTATGCAATTAACTTATTTCCTTACGGAAATGGTACTGCTGGTGAAGGTATTACCAATTTATTCTATTTGCTTATAATGTTACAGTAAGTTTTTGATTTATGCAGCCTAATTTTCCACTCCTTACAATGTCCATGTTATTCATGTTCCAATAAACTCCTGGTCAGTGCTAAGCACCCATCCACAAGAGACAAACGCAGGTCTGTGCTGTCCATGGGCCTTCTTACCATGAGGCCCCATGAAAAGGGGCATCCACTAGGATAAACTGAGAGCGCAAACAGGGTGTATGCATGTGCACTCTGTGTACAACATGGGCATGTGTGCACATGCACACGTAACATGGGTATGTGTGCAACATGTGTGTCTGACAGGGGTAACTGCTGTGTGTACATGTGTATACGTGCTGAATGTGTGACATGGGAGTGGTGTGTGCTATGTGTGCAATGTGTGTGTGCACATGTGCTGTGTTGTGTATAAAACGTGTAGCTGTGTATGCAATATGTATATGTTGTATGTACATGTGTGTATGTGCTGTATGTGTAACATGGGAGTGGTGTGTGTGCTATGTGTGCAACATGGATATGTGTTGTGTGTATATGTACTATGTGTGCAACATGCGTATGTGCGCATATGCTGTGTGTACATGGCATGTGTGCTCTTTGCAATATGCTGTGTGCATGTGTGCAATGTCATGTATGCACACAGTGCTATGTGTGCAATGTCGTGTGTGCATACACTATGTGTGCAACACAGCATGTATGCATCTGTACTGTGTATACAACATGGGCATGAATGTTGCATGTGCAACATGGCATGTGTGCACGTTTGTGTGAATCAGTGGTCCAAGGGGTCCTCAGGCCTCAGAGCACTTACAAGCTCCGCCTGAGCCGGGCTGCTCCATCCCCTCCTCCCCTTCCTCCTCCTCTTGAGAGCCCGCCCTCTCCCGGGTGCTCAGCGTCAGCTGGGAGTGCTAAGGACAGCGGCTCTGGCACTGTGTGGGAAACCTTGCTGTGACACAGGTGGTCCTCAATCCACGGCTCTCTCAGGACAGCAGAGGTCCTGATGAAGCTGTCCATTGACGGGGAACACCGTGCTCTGGGGAAAACCTGGGGAACATTCCAACAAACCCTGCGAAGACAAAACCCCTGCCAATCCTGTTTCCTACTGATGCGAGTGAGGCCTGCTGGCACTGAGACAGCCCTGCCTTGTCCTGGCGAGCACACAGGAGAGCCCGGACTGAAGTCGCCACACCTCCGTAAAGCATTAGTTTATGTTGTTTTGGTGAACTTTGTACTAACAGATACTTTTTCAAAAACCCAATCTAGAAAACTCTGTTTTTAACTTTTTATTTATTTATTTGAAAGGCAGAGAGACAGAGAGTTCCCAGCCACTGGCTCACTCCCCAGATACCCACAACAGCTCGGTCTAGGCCAAAGTTAGGAGCCAAGAACACAATCCACGTGGGCAGCAGGAGCCAATCACACGAGCCTCTGCCACCGCCTCCCCAGGCCTGTTTTAGCAGGAAGCTGGAGTCAGCAGCCAGCGCCAGGAGTGCAAGCTCCGGTGCAGGATGAGGGAGTCTGAGCTGCTGGGCCAAAAGCCGGCTCCTCAGAAACCCTGAAACACTCAGCACCTAACAGCAAACACGACACGCACGGTCAGTTCCCATTCACACACTTGTAGAAACACAACAGGGAGGTCAATGAAAGACTCCTAACACACACAGCTGGAGTAGGATAAAATCCTCTGGGAAAAGCAAATGGAGCTATGGATTCAAAGACAAAAGGAAAGGATGGAATTTCCTGCCAAAGAAACATTTGGGATTTTCAGTGGAGATGGCAGATGTGAGATCATCATAACACCCAGACCCTCTGTGTGTGGGAGATGCACCTCTCTCTCTGTTCGCCTCTGCCTCTCTGTAACTCTGCCTTTCAGGCAGACTGATAAATATTTTTAAAAAGCGGGGGGGTCTGGGAAGGGGACACTGTGGCGTGGAGGATGGAGCCGCTGCCTGCAGTGCCGGCATTCCATGTAGGCGCCAGTTCCAGTCCCAGCTACTCCACTTCCCATCCAGCTCTCTGCTATGGCCTGGGAAAGCAGTGGAAAATGGCCCAGGTCCTTGGGCTCCTGCCCCACATGGGAGGCCCAGAGGAGGCTCCTGGCTCCTGGCTTCAGATCGGCGCAGCTGCAGCCATTGCAGCCATCTGCAGAGTGGGCCAGCAGATGGAAGACCGACCGACCGACCTCCCTCCTTCCCTCCCTTTCTCTCTCTCTCTCTCTCTCTGCATCTGCCTCTATAACTCTGCCTTTCAGGTAGATGGATAAATCTTTAAAAAAAAAAAAAAGTTGGGGCCAGCGCTGTGGCATAGCAGGTAAAACTGCCACCTGCAGTGCTGGCATCCCATATGGGCGCCAGTTCAAGTCCTGGCTGCTCCACTTGCGATCCAGCTCTCTGCTATGGCCTAGAAAAGCAGTAGGACATGGCCCAAGTCCTTGGGCCCCTGCACCTGCATGGGAGACCTGGAAGAAGCTCCTGGCTCCTGGCTTCGTATTGGTGCTGCTCTGGCCATTGCAGATGGTGCCTCTGCCTCTCCTTTTCTCTCTGTGTTAACTAAATAAATAATTTTTTTTTAAAAGTGATGCAACCACAGTTTCATTTTTAAAAGACAGTATTTGGGGCAGCAAATAAAATGCTTTTCAACTGGTTGCTTTTGTATAAAACCAAAGGAACCTACTTGTGAGGGGTGCTTAGCACACATGCTGCAATCTGCCCCCCAGAATGCAGTGTGGGCGCCAAGTGAGCACTGCTAGGCCCTCCAAGGACTGCATGAGTTCCCCTAAGGCTCACCCAAGGCTCACCCTGGAAAATCACACACCTCTGAAGGAGTTACAGTCTCACTGGCATGCCTGGCTCTTCCATGGACATACACCAAGATGTTCTGGCAAAGAACAAAAATATGACACCTCCTGCTTCCCAGCAAGCAGCCCTGTAGGAAACAGTGGCAGCAGTGACCGTATATCAGACTTGATCTCCTGCACTAAGGACCCAAAGCCAAGGACAGGGCCCTGCAGACAAGGAGTTCTTGCCTCCCACCTCATGCCGCAAGGACACACTTCCGCATCAGAGGCCCAGAGTCAGAACACTACCTTGCATCAGGCATCACCTTCAACCACAAACACCAGTCAGTGGGGTGCCACCTGGGGTGCAAGGGTCACTCCACTGGCCCAGACCGCCCCGGTCTGCAGCATGGAGTCGCCTCTGCAGAAGCTTCACCCTCCTGATGCGACAACTCTCACCAGCCAAGGCAGGCCCTTGCACTTGTCTTCAAAAGCAGAGTAGATCCTGGAGCTATATAACAAAATAGCACCACTGATTTTTTTTTTTTTTAACTACACTACCTTTCTACATTCATGCAGGACCCAAACTCTGAGCTAAACTTGATAATCTATCAAAAAGTGAAGTGGAGATTACCACACAACCCAGCAGTTCACTTCTGGGCATACACTCAACAGTCTCAGAAAGCTACAGGCTACAGTCACAGCAGCGGTGTCCATCGGCGGTGCGTCCTTAAAAAGAAAGGACATTCTCACCCATGCCATGACACAGATGAACCCTGAACACCTAACACTGAGATACCCCAGGCCACAGGACCAAGCACTGTGTTTCCACGGGGTCCCTAGAATGGACACATCTGCAGAGGAGAGTGTGGAAGGGAGGGAGATGGGGCCATGCCTTCCCCAAGGGCGACCAGCTTCAGACGGAGACGTGGTGATGGCTGCACAACATTGCAGGGGATGATGTCACAGAGCTGTATGCTTAAAAATGCTTACAATCAGGGCAAGCACTGTGGAGTAGCAGGTAAAGCCACCGCCTGCAGCACAGGCATCCCATATGGGAGCCAGTTCAAGTCCCAACTGCTCCACTTCCGATCCAAACTCTGCTATGGCCTGGGAAAGCAGTGGAAGATGGCCCAAGTCCTTGGGTCCCTGCACCCTTGTGGGAGACCTGGAAGAAGCTCCTGGCTCTGGATCGGCACAGCTCCGGCCGTTGCGGCCAATTGGGGAATGAACCAGCAGATGCCGGAAGACCTCTCTCTCTCTGCCGCTCCTTCTCTCTCTGCATATCTGTGGTACTCTGACTTCCAAATAAATAAAAATCTTTAAAAAAAAAAAAAAGGTTAAAATCAGAGCCAGCTTTGTGGTATAAGGGGTCAAGCCGCTGCCCGCAACAGTGGCGTCCCATATGGGTGCTGGTTCGAGTCCTGCTTTGCTTCCAATCCAGCTCCCTGCTAATGCACCTGGGAAAGCAGAAGAAGATGGCCCAAATCCTTGGTCCTTTGCACCCACGTGGGAAACCCAGAAGCAGCTTCTGGCTCCTGACTCCAGCCTGATCCAGCCCTGGCCATTGTGACCATTTAGGGAGCAAACCAGCAGATAGAAGACCTCTCTCTCCCCATCTCTTTCTCTGTAATTCTGCCTTTCAAATAAGTAAAATCTTTTTTAAAAAAATGGTTAAAATAAAAAACTTTTGTTCTAGAAATATATTTTGCCACAATTTTTTAAAAGCAATAATGTAATATACCAAAAACAAATGAAGTATATACTTTAAGTGGGCTTACTATGTTGTGGATGAATTACTAGTTAAACAAAGTTGAATTCACATTTAGAAACCATCACTCCACCATTCCGAGCAGCCCTCTCTGTGGCAGCTGCTATCTGCCCACGGCACGACTCCACCCTCAACCAAAACACCCCATTCTGCAGGGAAGGAGGGGCAGGGGCACTCACTCACTCACCAAGGAGAGAGCGGCTCCCACCCAGAGTGCAAGCCGTGGGCTTCAGTGCTCGCAAGCCAGAACGGCCACAGAACTCAAACAAAGCAGGTGGTTAGCAGGGCACTTGGACCCCGGGGCTGTGTCTGCAACTCAGGTCAGAGCCTATCCCTCCAGGCCGAACCAGGTGCACAGGCCTGGGGCAGAGGCTCTGCAAAAGGGAATGCAGCAGCCCAGGCAGGAACACCAAGCCCACAGGAGCTGGCAGCCCTGGGCCAGCCTCTGCATCAGACCCCACACAGCCCTGGAAGACAGGGGACATAGCACACATGCTATGTCTTTTCTGGGAAACACAAACTCCTGTGCCACTGACTTTGCACCCAGGGTCCTGCGCCTAGCTGAACCCCTTCCTTAGACATAAAG